GGAATGCTCTAGGTCAGGAGACAATCAGGGGTCAGAGAAAGAGCTGGAGGAAATCTGTCACCACGCCCTCCCCCGGGGATTCCTCTAAAACTCCTCCCTCGGCCGACAACCTGAAATCAGGATTGTAGCAAAGCTGCCACCCAGGACCGGTGCTGGCTGAAAATATCCAGCACGGCTGCCAACCACTTCCCCACGAGGACCTATAGCCTATGACAATGTCATTAAATGCAGTTATCATGGCTGGCACTCCCACTGCCATCACGCACCTGACGCCACGATACTTCCTTAAAAAGCCAGAAAAGGGGCAGTCACCAAATTCCTGGAAATCTGCCCAGCGCACCACCCCCACGCCTCCAGAGCACAGAAGGGATGGCCCCGAACCTCGTGGTTTGCAGCTCACTCTGGAGCAAGCCTGCAGTCTGGCTTGAGTGTGTACTTTCACTTTGCAAACAAATATTATTTTTGGGGCCAGTGTTGTGACACAATGGGTTGAGCTACTGCTTTTTCAACACCAGCATCCCATAACTGAGCACCAAAATTTGAGTCCCAGCTGCTCTGCTTCCTGCTAACTGCAACTGGAAAAGCAGCAGATCATGGCCCAAATACTTGGGCCCCTGCCACACCTGTCAGAGACCAGGGTGGCTCCTGGCTTTGGCCTAGCTTCAGCCTGGCTGTTGAAACCATTTGGGGAAGAAACCAGTGAATAAAAATCTCCATGTGTGTGTGTTTCTCTGTCTCTTTGTCTCTGTCTCTCTGTCTCTGTCTCTCTTTGTTGTTCTACCTTTTAAATAAATACATAAATAAATATTTTAGGAATAAATAAATAAATCTTGTTCTTCTGCTAACTTTGATCTATGCCTCATCCTCAAATTCTATGATGCACAGGGCTGACTCTGTGGTTTAGTAGGCTAAGCCTCCACCTGTGGCACTAGCATCCCATATAGGCGCCGGTTTGAGTCCCTACTGCTCCACTTCCGAGTCCTCTCCCTGCTTATGTCCCAGGAAAGCAGTAGAAGATGGCCCAAGTGTTTGGGTCCCTGCATTTGCATGAGAGACCCAGAAGAAGCTCCTGGCTCCTGGTTATGGATAGTCCCAGCTCTGGCTGTTGCAGCCATTTGGGGAGTGAACCAGCAGATGGAAGACCTTTGTTTCTGTCTCTCCCTCTCTCTGTCTGTAACTCCACCTCTCAAATAAATAATTAAAATATTTTTTAAAAAATTCTTTGATGCATCAGAGACAAGAAGCTGGATTCCAACATGAATACAGATGCTCTTCAACCTATGATGTGGTCATACCTCAACTAACCCAGGATAGGTTGAAAATGTAAGTTAAATTGTATTTAAGGCACCTAAGCTCCTGAGCGGCCCAGCTTAGCAACACAGCATTCTCCACCGTCTGATACTCTGGACAGAGATTGGCTGCTCCCTTTTGCAATCACAGGGTTGACTGGCAGCTGTGGCTTGCGGCCATCATGAAAGAGTAGTGTACTGATACCACTATCCTGGGAAAAGAGCAAAACTCCAAACTCAGAGTTGGATTTCTACTGAACGCTTATCATTTTCACATCATTGGAAAGTCAGTGATCGATCATAAATCAATGATGTGGGGAGGGAGGTGGCCAGCAAAGAGGACTGAGATTGCCAGCACCTGCGCTGGGGCCCACGGGCACCACAGCCCCGCGCACACTGCCCCAAACTCCACCCCATTCCGTGCAGACCACAGCTGCTGGAGTTTCACAGCTTAGAATCGACTAAAAAAAATAATAATAAATCCAATATGGCTGCAGGCTGCATCCCTGCAATGATCTTGAAGGTTATTAAAATGTCATTATAATAAAATTACTCCCATCATGCACCTGTGCCATCCCATGTCCAAGATTTCCAAAAACGGGCATGGGAATGGGTGGCACTCAAGCCCTGCCATCAAGCCCCACGCTGAACCTTCAGCGAGCACAGAAGGACAGCCCGAATCTTGATCAGGCAGCCCACTCCTTCCTGACTTGCCTGCTCTTATTCCTTAAGAGTTTGCTTTCGCTTTCAATAAATCTCGCTTCCCTGCTCACCATTGTCTACACCATTCCTTGAATTCGGTCCCTCATGGAGACAAGAACCTGGACTGAGCCCAGCCAGAAGCCACAGTCACAACAAATCCCTCATAGGTCAGGACATCTGTCCTGGGGCCTCCCGGCATCTTCCACTGTCTACCCACCCCATACTCGGGTGTAGATCCGCAAAGCCTTGACACATGCTGCCAGGGAACTCAGTGCAGGATGTTTCTAGAAGAAAAGCAGCCCATGTGCCTGGTTTGCCTAGGACGGTTCTGGTTCAGGACATTGTACTGGTGTCCCAAGAGTTTAGTATTTGTCACAGGCCAAAGTGTCCCAGTTTGAATAATAATTATACGAGGGAGGGTACTTTAAACATGTTCAAAAAATTGAATTAAAAGGTAAGTTCATTGTGGTGCAAGAAAATCTTGAAACCCATGCATATAAAGGGTCTTCAAAAAGTTCCTACAAAATGTGTGTTATTAAAGTATGCACAGGGGCCGGCACTGTGGCGTAGTGGGTAAAGCTGCTGCCTGCAGTACCGGCATCCCATATGGGCGCTGGTTTGAGTCTGGGCTATTCCACTTCTGATTCAGCTCTCTGTTGTGGCCTGGGAAAGCAGTGGAAGATGGCCCAAGTCTTTGGGCCCCTGCACCCACGTGAGAGACCGAGAAAAATCTCCTGGCTTCGGATCAGCACATTTCTGGCTGTTGCGGCCATCTGGGGAGTGAACCAGCAGATAGAAGACCTCTCTGCCTTTCAAATAAATAAATCTTAAAAAAAAAAAAAAAGCTATGCATGAACTTCAAAAAATTTTGCACCAAAATAAATGTATCTCTTAATTTCATTTTTCCAGGAACTATTTTTGAAGCCCCCTTAAACAGTCACCCTACTTATAAACCACACATGGGCCAGCCTGGAGAGACCAGGAAAAGTCAGCATCAGCTTGTTGTCCAATTGTACAAACAGAAATGCTAAATACCAGTTAATTAAGGAGCTACTATATGAGTATACACACTCATACACACATACATATTCATACACATACACAGAGCTGGGCACTGGAGACCCAGTCCAAGTTTTGGAAGCATCAGACCTCAAGTCACCTGCTTATCCTGCCATGGAAAACTTTTGTTCTATTTACCTTCCTTGCTTGTCATAAACCAGAGCCCCTCTGCCTTTGCGCTGAGCTTTCTGGTCCCAACAAAGTCCCTGACCAGGTCCAGGGTAGAAAGAGCCTTTCACTGGACAAACACTTCTTGGGGCCCTGCTGTGATAAGAGAAGCCCTTTCTGATAAGGAAAGCCCCCCTCCTTGATAAGAAGCCAGAAGGTAGCTTTTGAGAGGGAAAGTGACAAGTGATGCCTCAAGGCAGACAGTGTGCCCCGCTGTCACAGGGGAGGTGACCTGGACCATTCCCAAGTCTCCCAACCTCAGTGTCCCAAGGCACACTGCAGATTCCCCAAAGATCAGCTCTCCTTGGAGTTCAGGCTTGGGGCCAGACTGTGCACAGAGGGGCACCTCCAAGATCGAGAAGTCGAGAGAGGAGTGACTTGGGCGAGTCAGATCCCCTGGCTTTTACAAGGAAACCAGGGGGAGCAGGGCCTCCCATCGACTCTGGGAGAACCCATGACTGAAGTAGACAGACCTCTTAAGAACTTATGGTTTTCCTCCTGCTGCCTTGATGGCGCTGGCTTTAAATAGTGGGAGCCTTTGTCTTGCAAGAATTTCACAAATTTTAAAAACCACAGCTCGTTTAATCTCTCCTTAGCCCTCAAGGCTGTGAACTTGTCCTTGGTCTAAAATGGGGAAGAACCCAAGGAGGAGGCAAATTGCTGACAGATCTTCTGTGTGGGGTGAGGGGCACAAATTCAGCTCCTTAAGAGCGACCCAACAGCCTGGTCCCGGTAAAACCCAGTGTAAAAAGATCAGGGACTCTCCAGGCCCTGTGAGGGTCTCATTGTCAGTCCACTTGCTTGTCCACCACACCCAGATCCCTGCACTGCTCAACCTATCCCACCCCACCTCACCACCTAAGAGAAGCTTCCAGGAGTCCCTCCCTGCCCCAAAGGGTCCTGACGTCCCCTGGGAATCCTACCCAATGGCTCCAGGGTGAGAGTTCTCTTAGCTCTTGCTGCAGAAGTGCGGCTCCAGGACTTGGGACGAGCCATCCCGGGGCTGATTAGAGATGCAAATTACCTGCCCAGCCCAGGCCTCTTTCATCTGAATCTGCATTTCAACAAGCCCCGCCCCGCCCCCAACTGGACCCGCAATTCTGCAAACCCAGGCCCTCCCGAGGGCGCTGTGGTCATGACAGTGAATCATCTCCCAGTTCAGGAGCTTCTCTCTCCCTCCTTCCCTCTCTCTCTCTCTTTCTCTCTCTTGCACGCGCGCGCAGATATTGACAACTTTTTTCCATGCAAGGTATGGAAGAAGAGAAAACCCACCTGGCACTGAAACTATAGGAAGGGAGGTGAGGTGCCCGAGGAGCGCACACTTGGCACAGCGGTTAAGCTCAGTTCACCTGCAGCCAGCCTTCTGAGCACGCACACCCTGGGAGGCAGCAGACAGCGGCTCAAGCGCCACCCACATGGGAGACCTGGACTGAGTCCTTGGCTCTTGGCTTCAGCCTGGCCCAGTTCTGGCTGTTTCGGGCACTTGTGCTTTGGAGTGTGAACCAGTCAATGGAGGATCTCTCTCTCTCTCTCTCTCTCTCTCTCTCTCTCTCTCTCTCTCTCTCTCTCCTTTTCCTTTCAAATAAAATACAATAAAATAAACAAACATTAAAAAAAAGAAAGAAAGAAAAGAAAAGCATTAGAGCATTAGAACAGAGATTTCTCGCTGAGGTTGATAGCCCCCTTCTTCCCCACTCACTGCCCTGTTTCCGGTCCTGGAAAATCCTCCCTGCGGTTCCCCTTTCAGCTGTCCAGATGACTAAATTCCACGGGGCACAACACATCACACTGCCAACCGCCTGGCTGCTCTTCCCAGTTCCTCCAGCTCTCGGCAAGCCCAGCAGGGCCTGCAGACCCGGGCACATCGCCCACCCTCCACCTTCCTCCCCACCCCTGCACACAGAGGAGGGCTCTCGCTGGCGACCTGGTGGAGGGTGGGGCTGGCCTGGGGTCTCCAGATGCTCACAGCATGGAAAGGTCCTTTCGATTCCTGGCGTGCTTGGCGTGTGTCGTCCCAACCGGTGAGTTTCTGCTGTTCTCTCTGGCCCAGGCTAGGCGCTGACAACATCTCAGGTGTGGCTGCTCCCCTACAAGCACCCCGGGGCCTGGGCAGGAAGAGCCGCACTGAAAGGGAGCTGTGGTGACAGAAGCCAGGAGTTCCGATCTGGGCTTTGCCTTGGGTTTCCAGGTGACTTGGAGCAGCTCTCTGAGTTCTCTGAGCCTCAACGTCCCCATGTGTTCCAAGGCTACCTGCCTTACCCATTGCCCTGAGGATCCAGGGGGCTCCTGGGCCAGGTAGGGGGAGGAGTCTGCAGGCTCTGAGCTGACTTAGGGTGTGGCTGTCACATCTTCACGGGCACAGGCCTGCCTGAGCATCAGGGAGGAGAGCATGTGGTCATCTGGGGACAGTGTAGGGGTAAGGGCACAGATGTGTTCACATGGAGAACAGGGCGAGCGTCAGAGGCTGCAGGACGAGCTGTCCATGGCAGTGCTGAGGTAGCAACATCATTGTATCTGCTCTGTGAATTGGTGTCCTGGGGAACAGTGCTTCTCAATGGGCACAGGGATCACCTATTTCGAATGCCAGGGGAGGGACATTCGTTAAAATGCAGATTCCTTGTTTCCCCCCAAGACCTGCAGGGTGCAGAGCCCAGGAGTGTGTGCATTTTCAACCAGCTGCTTGGGTGATCCTGGTGCCTGCTGTAAGTGAGGGCAACTGGGGAAATGGCACAGGGAGTCCCTGAGAGGCATGGTTCTATCCCCACCGCAGCCTGGGATGCCCCTGCCAGGGGGTCCTGGACTCAGCACCCACACCAACGTGTACACGGCCATCATGCTCTTACTGACCTTGGACTTGCCTTGCTAGGCTCCTGTCTCCACGGTGGACAATGACGTCCCCACTTTAGGCTCCTGTTCCCCTCTCTCTCACATTCAGCACAGTGTGCAGTCCAGTTCTTGTCCAGCACAGATGGTAACAGCAGGCAGCTGCATGGCTTTTACTAAGTGCTGGCTCATGTGACTCTATGAAATGGACTATTTATAGTCCCTTTTCGCAGCTGAGAAAACTGAGGCACGGAGAGGCTCAGTGAGTGCACTAGATGGAACTAGGATTTGAACTTGAGTGTATTTGGCTCTAGACTGGGCCCTTACCCCTTGCCCCACCCTATGCTGCCATTGTCCCCTGCACAGAGCCTGATGGCAGGTGCATTGGGAAAGGCTAACTAACTCAACCATCTTTCTAAGAGTTGGGTCCCACCCTAAGAGGGTGGAAGCTTCAGGAAGTGCCCGGCCCCTGTAGCCAACAGGAGAGCCACTAAGGATGTGTGTTGACAACAGACACAGCTCTGAATCCGGGTATTTCCTAGGTGTGGTCTGTTAACTGCCCTGAGCCCCGCCACTTCGTGTGGGTCCTGGGGAGGATAACTAACTAGGTGCTGGATAGAAGGTCCCCGGCACACTCACGGTGCTCCGTGGCTGTGCAACACATGATGTGGAAAAGCTATGGAAGTCACAAAGCTTCCAGGGAGGCAAGGCTCTGGGGTTTGGGTTTGGGTTTGGTTATTTTGCTCCTGCTGAGGGTCAGCTGCTACGGATCAGTTAAAGACAGACACCTTTACAGGAAGCATGAGCAAAGCAGTCACCCGTTCAATAGCAGGAAGCAAGTCATACAATGCTGTGTTGTGGGTCGAGGCTGTTGTGCCACGAGGCCAAATCTTTCGCAGAGTTGAACCCCCTGGGGAAGACGACCCATTTCTGTATACACTAGCAGCTGCTTCACTGTCCAACCCACACGGCTGGGAACCCGGCTGAGCCAGGGATTCACTTCCTCCCTGCTTCTGGTGCTGTTTGCCTGTGATCGCCTCCCAGTGGCTCAGCCACAGAATGCAGACAGTAACCTGGGCAGGTGGGCTCCACTACAGAGTGAGCCCTTGGCCCCCATGAGCTAGGGCCTGTGCCAACTTGAGGCCCTCGTTACAGTCACTACCCTGTCTGTACCAGCGTGTGGGGCCTAGGGTAGGCCCTTAGTGGAAGAGAAGTTGCAAGGAATTCATCCCAGAAGCCCCTTCTACTTCCCAAGCCCCCCTCTTCCATGCAGGTCCCACCCATAAGTGAGACCCAGGGCCCTAATCCCCCAGGGGCTCCCCAACAGTGTTCCCAGTCTTTCCCCTCTCTGTGCCCTAGACCTAGTTTTAGAGGCTGGAGAGGCCAGCGAGTGTGGGGCATGGGGAAGAACACTGGTCTGGGGGCTCTGACCACCTGGGTCACCGTGGGCAAGGCCTCAGCTCTGATGAGCAGGTGTCATCCTGGGGGCTGTCTTGTGCCAGGGTTTTGGCCAAGCTCAAAGACTTTTCACTGCAAGCCTGCAAATACAGCATGCTTGGTTCTGTTTCCAGGCAGCTGAGGGAGGCCAGGGGACTGTGCTGGGCCACACAGCCTGGATGTGACCTGCAGCGTACTGTGGGTATACCTGGCTCCTTGCACTGTGTACAATACAGCAGCTGGGAGCCTGGCAAAGCTTGGGGCTAAGAGTTGTTCACTTCACTAGCTTAGAACCCCTGCAGGAAAACATATCAAAATGGCACGACAAACAGCCAAAGTCGTCACTGCTTGTTTGGTGTGCAGGGAAAGGTCAGGAGGAAATGCGAGGGTTTAATGAGCCAAGATGCTTCTGCTCCCAGTGGCTGGTGTGGACAGGTTTGCTGGGACAAAGGAAGGAGGAGGAGCCAAGGGCAGCAGGGCCCCCTGCAGAGGTTGGGTGAGCTGGGCAGGGACAGGAAGGACCAGGAGCTCTGGAGAGCAGTGCCCTGCAGTGGTCCAGGTCCAGGTCAGGGTCAGCCCCTGTCTGTGTACCTTCATCAGCTCAGGTATGCAGGCAGCATCCACAACTACCCACAGCCAAGGGGCTGGAGAGACAAGGCTTAAAGGAGGAGGTGGGATAGCCCCCAGGCACCCGGAGACTGGCCAGGCCTTCCACTCGGAGTCCTTCTTCCATCACTCCTTCCCTGGAACCCTCTGGGTGGGTCTGGTTCCCTGGGAGGATGGAATCCTACTTCCTCCCCCTCCTCTCTTCTGTGGCCTCTGATGTATTCTCACCTTTTCCCAACCAGTATCCTATCTTGACAACATGCAGTCCCAGAAAAAGAATTGCTGGCAGCAAGCTGACAGGCACGAGGGAGGTGGATGGGAGGTGATGCATCCCAGCTCCACCCACAGCCCAGCCGGTGAGGTGACATGGTCACAATGAACACCTCTCTTTGCCCCCAAACATCTTCTCCCAGCTCTCCAGGTGCCACTGTGCCCAGGAGGTTCCACCGGATCCACCCCTGTTAGCACACCCAGGTGTCCCCAAGGAAGGAGGCCCCCTTAGGGAGAGCTGCTATAGTCAGATTGGCGACCTGCCAGCTGTCAACCCAAGCAGGTCCCTGGGGACTCCAGTGCCACGATGCTCTCCCTCCAAAGGCACAGCCTGTCCACGGTGACTGCCCACCTGGCAGCCTCTTCCCCTCCTCAAAACCCGTAACTTGCTCCCTCCAGAAAACTGTCATCTCATGCCCAGCCCCAGCAGATCTACTTCTGTCACAGTACCATTCCATGAGGGCACTCCTGGTAGCCACTGTCCCACCATGACCACGGAGCTCACTTTCCTGGATGTCATGCCCTGGGGAGGGTCTTCAATTCCAGGCCTTAGGAAGACCTTGAAAAACCAAGACAGTGCCCAACCCAAGTTCTGCCATGAAAATAAAAAGCTGCTTTCTCGAAAGTTAACCAAAGTGTGCATGCATACAGCCCCCATGGGTGGTGTCCTGAGAGGCTCCCGTGTAAATTCCTCCGTCCTTTTTCACCAATGAACGGGTGAGGATCTTCCATCATCTACGGCCCAAACCACGGATTCCATTTCTGAGCCTCTCTTGTGGTCTGTTCTCCCCGCCCACATGCTGCAGCTATGTTCCTGTTTCCCATGACTTTTGTCCCACCGGCACCCCTGGCATGGGCTCTGCCATATCGGGTCCGGGATGAGTCAACTACTCCCTAGATGAGTTGTAACTGTGGTTATGTGGGAGCAGACGCCCAATGCCATGACCTTCCTCAGATCAGGAGGCCTGAAGGGAGCTATGGGGGAATCCAGCAAATGGCTCTGTGGGACCATCGAGGCAGCAACACCTCTTTCCAAGTAGCTTCCTGGGGAGCTCGTGCCTTATTCCTGAAGTCTTCTAATTAAATAGTGTTTTCAGACATCAACGCTTAGACTGAAAAGTCGCCTCGGTAAACATCTAGAAACATCATTCATGAATGAACCTCTTGAGGCTAGAGAGCCATGGGGACTCACCCAAGGTCCCAAAGCCAGCATCAGAGGCAGGACTGGAGCCCCAGACAGACTTTTGACACCCCGCCCAGGGTCATGCCATCAACAGGGTGCTCCTCATGCAACCGAACCTTTCTGTGGTGCCTTGGGCACCACTGTGTGCACCTGTTCCATGAGCCTGCTGCGAAGTTGGCTGGTTCAGGTTCCTATGGGTTGATTCCTTCTCCAAGGTCTTTTTTTTACTTTCAAAATTTACATTTATTAAATAAAAGTCTTTAAAAAATAGTAGTTGCATAGATGTATATATTTGCCAAAACCCATTGGGCTAAAATGCTTTAAATGAGTGCATGTTACTAAATATAAGTTCTACTTTAATAAAAGTGATTTTTAAATTTTTCTACTCTAAGTTAAAATATTTTAAATATTTCCATAAATAGTATTTTTCATAATCAAATAGCATTACCATTATAAAACTTCCTAGAATTTGTCATCCAAATATTTTTGATCCCCTTGAAAACATCATAAAGAGTTTACACATAGAAATAGACCTAGTGACTGATGTTAAGCTAGGCTGGGTTTCCTTCTTTTAAAGGAATTTTTCTTGACATGTCTCTGTTGCCTTTCAGCACCATGCCCAGTTACTAGTAACAGAGTAAGGTAACGTTACAGTGTTGCTGCAGCATGCTTTAGCTCTCACGTGCTCTACACAGAATCAAA